TGGGTTCTTCTGGCTAGGAGTTGGGTCTGGTGGCGGCGTCTCAAGAAGGACTCTGATAATTGGAGTTAGAATGCGAACAGATATGACCTCTTCCTTGTGCGTTCATTTCATGAAAGAGTAATAAAGATCTGTTGTGAGATCACGCTTATTGTAATGTGAAGACAAGTGAGTGTAGGCTACATCCGGCCATTATGCCACAGTCCAACACGACACACTTGTTATAATTTGCGCGCTACATCCATGTTAGCTTGGCCACCGCTATGAACGACTGCGCCCTAATGGCTTTCTAAGTGGGAATAATTAATGAACTAGCAGTGACCCTAGGAGCACCCGGCCTCCCATCCCCTCCCCCAGGCGGCCACACTTTGACCTAAGGCCCTTCCTCTCTCTTACTGAGAGGTCCAACTTGCAAGTTGAGGTTCTCTCCCGCCCCCCCTCCCCCGGACCTCTATTCTGCAATCCAACAGGAGGGGATTAGATCTGGACCCCTCCTGTCTTGACCTGGCCTCCTGAACTGACCGCCCTCTGCAGTCACTAATCTCCCTCGGTTCCAACGCCTCCTATAACGAACGTCGGCGTCGCTTCTGTCCGCACCAGCATTTCGTAAAGACGCCAACTGGAACAAACGACCACAGAATTATTCCTCTCCATTCAAACAATCTAATGCAGTTTCAGCTGTGAAACGTCCTCTTTGACGAAACGAAATATTTGTGTGTGGCGTGATGTAATCAGGGCGCAAAATGTCTTTCGTCGACTTTAAATTCACAGACTGATTAATCTTTTCAGTGATAAACACGAGATATCTCGTTTGGACGCAGCATTCTGTCCTGTTATAAATTTTGTAATTTTACAGTAGGCGGTGAAATGAATCTGTATCTTTATCTTAGAAGTCATAAAATATTTGCGCCTTTTCGAGAATTAAAACTTCTGAGCTAGTCTAAGACAAAACCGACAGACGAAAGATGCTAACATCATTTTTCCTTTAAAATTCATGTCGTCATTATACTACAGAACGCTGTGAAATTTGTAGTTGCAGACTGTTTATACTTGGGAACCGTCATGTGGACTCGGTCTTTTTAAACACACCGCGTCAACTGTAAAAGCTATTTAAATAGAACTTTACTCATGTGAACAATCAGCTGGAAAGAATGCCTGTTTCAGGGAAATGTCCGGTCTTCGCCCATACGAACTAACGAGGACCTCTCAACTATATAATCAGTACTCCAGTCGAGATTCGAACCACATAGGCCATCTCTGGAATATGGAATACAAAGCGGGCGACTTATTACAGTGCTAACCTGCTGTGTGATGGATTTGTAAACTACCTGTCAGTTGGGACCCTACTCGTTAAAGACCGGTTACCCTTCATAATTAGCTGACGTCACGGCCGAGTGGTTAGCACTCCTGCTTCGTATTCCGGCTCTAGATTTCCACCCGGAGTCCTGTAACCTGACTGAGGCATTTTGTGGATTTTCTCATTATGTTCAGCCACGACCGCTTCCTTCCATATTCGTTCCCATCCAGTGTTCACTAGTCATTTTATTATTCAACTGATCTTTTTACAGCGTCGTTAAATAACATTTTATTAAAAAACACGTTTGTATTTGTGTTTTGAAAATATGAATACACATATTCGTGTGGTCTTTAAAGATAGAAGTTTAACGCATTTTTTTTAGCTATATTTACGATGTGCTACGTATGGCAGACATCCATATATATAAATATATATATATATATATATTTATATAGTATGACTAATTTGCACTCGTAGAAATCCTAGCATCTTAGTGAAACAATTTTCTCTGAGCTGGTAAATCAGATATTGTGTGTTATTTTTGGATTATTGCCTCAATTCTGCTGATTTCTGTAGAACGTCATTTGATTCTGCTTTACATAAAACGACGTCTGGTGACGAAATCGAGATAAGTAGACGTCATCGTATTTGCCTCACAACCTGCGTCTCTCTTCCTGGAACGGATTAATGTCCGCGATGGAGGATAGACAGTCTGTTGTAATGGGAAAATATATTCTCGCAAGTGCTTGTTGCCAGGAAAATAACTGCAATTACATGAAATCGTACACGCCAGAGACCACGGGGAACATTGAAGCGAATACAATCCGTGTCGATTACTGTCCATCGATTCATAAATGGCATTTCACAGTCGCCGGCGCTAATCACTACGGGCGAAAACGTGTTCGCTGATACCATTTATATTATGTTGATACTATCAGCGTCATAATACCACGTCCCGCTTGAGACTTATTTTTCAGTAGAAACCCTAATAATGATTTTACAGCGGAATGGTTATTTTCCTTTTAAAAAAAAGACGTAACTTTGTTTTAATTGGTGAAATTTTCATATGAAATTGTTAATCAAGCTCTCGTAGATTAAAATGATATTTCTGTAGATATTTCTCTGACTTCGTAGTCGTAGTTTAATCCTTGATTTTTAACGTTCTAAGGAGAAATAAAAATTAATATTTCTCTGTAATGACGATTAGTTTTTGAAGTCTGTAATTCTCCCGCTGTTTGCTGTAAATAAGTACAGAGGAGACATTTGAACGTGTTTAACTTCCCATCTGTTATTTTTCTCTTCAACACGCACATTCGACCATAAAGGCAGATGTGCCAGAGAGTATTATTCCTCCAGTGCGTTGCTTAGTAACGCCAATAATATACCTACCAGTCAATAAGGTCTAATATCGCATGCAAGATCCATTAAATTATGCGAGGGGGATAATAAACCATGTCCCTCACTCCAGAACTCGTTTCGTAGAAAACGAGATTCTTATCGTCTAGAATTAAAAAACAAAGAGCGAAAGTTTCGATCCCTTCTGCATGCGATCCATATGTTGAGTAACACGCAAACTCTCCTAAGTGAACCAACCGTATAAAAAGGCAATGCTACCGTTTGAGAACGGAGTTGGTTACGATAATAATTATGTAACCAACTTATATTACAAATTCTCTGCGGTCCAATAAAAGGGGGTGAAATGACTTTTTGTCTCTAGTTTGAATGATTTGATACTATGTTTTTTTTTTCTCCCATTATTTTCATCCGTCGAGTGTGTTGCAGGTAAAACTTTTTAATTAGTGTTTGATTCGAGTTTTTAAAAGTTATGATTTTGATATACATATTGTGCCCGCAGACAATTGTTAAGGTAATTCGTGAGAAAAGCAGGTGAACTCGGCTCCGCCTGAACTTGGCGCTGTCCCGCTCGATTCACGTGCTGTACGGGTTGTATACCTAGCAGCGATTCCTATCGCTTGAACTGTTGTCTGACTACGGGAACAATTTTTTTTTAACTGTTTCGATATTCATTTTTACTTTCAGCTTTGTTAAAGTGTGCACTGCTTCGGCGCTCATCTGGGCAGTTTCTGGTTACAACTTGGAATTAATTTTGGATCGTTTTCAGTTTATTTTCCTTTCCGAATAAAGAGAATGTAGGGTTATGACGTCACAGCGCTCTCTGTGTGTGTCCCATTTTCAACTTCTGCCCCCCCCCCCCCAACCCAAAAAAAGTTACCGATTTTTACGAAATTTGGTATGAATATTATGTTATTGGAAGCCACCCCAACCTCGTACATTTTCATTTCCTAGTCAGTAATAACAAAATGGCGGACGGACGAACTTGTTAAGTAGACGCTACGGTCTGAGAATAGGCCCATGATAATTACAAACATGGCTACTGTGCGAAATTTCGAGGTTATGTGCGACAAATTTAATGTCATATCTGTACCAGAATTTCCATACCAGGCTTATATTTTTCTCAAAAATAAAATTGGTCCAGTAACCTGTAACATGTTTATGCTAGTTACAAGTAGTAAAATATGTTCGATCATATGACTAAACAGCTTTCAGGCTCTCAGCACGCTAACCCATAAAATAAATTGAATTTTATTGCTGTGTTATATAGCTCGCATTACCTTAATGTAAGAGAAACAATATGTGATTTGTCGAACTAAAGGTGTGTTCATTTGGAAGGTAGATCATGAGTTCTGACCGGAACTAGGTCTTTATTACAATTTTCTCATGATCTTTTTAATAATATCCCTGGTCAGATAGGTTTGTGGTTAACTTACAAGCTGCCTTATTGAAATTAAAGTAAATGTTATTGATTTACGTAAAGTAGATAATTAAACAAAATACAGCTAATGCTTTATTATTATCTCATTAGCGTCTCACGTGTTTTCAATTGCGTATGTAGGGCACAAGGTAATACAGATAATAATATGTATTTTTATGACATGTTTTCTCCTGCATATTTGTTATATGAACATAGGAAAGAAGTTTCATTGTCACAAATTATTGCTAGAAAATATAAGCTCGGTGTATAGCATTTTTATATGAAATATTTATTCTGTTTTCCGGTCGCATGAGTTGATTGAAGCGGTGATATTGTACGCTGATAAATGTGATGATAGTGTTTTGTGGCAAATGAATTATGGTTAACGATTAGTACGAGTTTAAAACTCAAAATCACATCTAACTTTTATTTTGCATGGAATAGTATTTACTTGTTGGTTGAATTAGTCATTGGAGTTAAAATTTAAGGAGACAGTAATTTAATTATATTCGCTTTCAAAGTGTGCTATTTTCTGAAGTAAAATATGCACACAATGAAGTGTGAATATACGATTCAATTGATTATTTTTGGATCCATTGTAATTAAATTGTATAAAAATACAACAGACAGAAATTCTGGAATCGGAAACACGTCACGATTTCTGAAGTCACTTTAATTACGTTGCATCTCAACAAAATGTTACTTTGCCACAGTGTGGGAGTCACAGAATAAAAACGTTGATGTAATTTGTAAGTTAGAAACGTCCCCCGAGCAGAGGTTCCATCGAACACGCTCTGCGGACATAACTTATCTAAAGCCATGTCTTAGTTACTGCAATGACTGATTCAATTATTCTGAATAGACGATATCCTCTCCCGGAAGACGCAGGACGTGAAGCCTATCTTGGATGTAACATTGTAGTGATGTTTGTAGGAAAAGACACGGGTATTCCAGCTTTCGCCCGAGGCGATGGCGACAACATGACAGAAGAGAGGATAGCACACATCCTGAACGAAGCCAGTCATATGATGAAGACTCAGGTGGAGGACAGCCACAGTAATGACAGCAAATCTCCGCACCAAGGACAGGTGAGATACGACACCCGCCTAGCGAATACGAACAGCGGCAGAACGGATTATGGAAATGTCTGGTGTTGCTCGCGACACAAAACCCTGTAGATCAGGATGTTGGCCTGCACAAAGTAATTTTGCCAGTTACTTTGAATTAGTATGAATTATAATCTCTCTCAGACTGTTAAGTGGCAAGTGTTTCAAAGCGAAGTTCTCAGGGCACTGTTTGAACGTAAGCAGTTAAGGATATTGCTTAAGCAGGAACTAACTTTCAGTCAGCCAGTATTCTTAAAATAGTGAATTCATGAGATGTGCCTAGGTTGGGATTTTAGTGTAGAAACGTTTAGGAAAATGATCAATTTGAGGGCAAATAAGGAGACGATACGATGACATCGAGAGATGATTCGTAGATAAGTAGTTTGTGAGGATGAAACATGGAAGAAAATATCTAAGAATCGTATATAATTGCAGACTTTCGTGTTAGAGGCGTCGTAACCTTTTGCTGCCAGACAGTTGGTTAGTTAAAAATAATTTCAGTTTCTTAAGATTTTGTCTTCCTTAACTTCAGTTTGTTCTCGTGTCACTGATGTGGTGGATACAGTATACAGTAAAAGTTTATTTCAAGAGTTTCGTACGAACGCAGTGATTATACCATTTGGGTACTGTGTCTTATATTTAGGTTTCACGTGAATTGAGCATACAAGTCACATCAATTCCGCTCTAGATTAAAATTGATACGTCATAGTAGGTAAAATTTGTTGGTGTGTTTTGCACTGTAAGTAGTTAACGGAAATGCTTAATTATGGAACCCGTTACCGAGATCCATGTGTCTGTCTGTCCCTTCATTTACTCATGGATAGAGTTATTACATAAATTGACTTATATTAAATATGAGCTACGTGCCTTCGGAGGACATCCTGTCTTGGTAATTTACATGCCTGTCTTCAGCACTACCAACAACTCGTTTCACGAATTTTATGGAATAAGAACAATATTTTAAAGTACTGAAGTTTCGTCTTGCGGAACATTTTTATAAATCGGTTCATGTACAACCTTTTTAGAGGATGCTTTCGTGATAGTGACTGAATTAGAACCGGAAACCGTAATCTATTTTATGTGTAATGTTATGGTGATATGCTACATACTCAGATAAAAACAGTTTATGTGAGTTCGATATTCTGTGACTGCAGAAATTGTAAAAAAATCGGCTTTAGCACAGTTTCGAATTCAGATGTGTCTTCATTTCTGGGTGTACAAAATTGAGAGACATAGGAAATATATACGAAACTTTGGTCCATGAAGCGAAGGGAGAAGACACAGTTGGAAGATCTAGACGTAGATGTGAGGATAATATTAACATGAATTTTAAGGTAGTTGGGTGAGAGGGAGTGGATGAGATTTGTCCGACTCTAAAGAAATCCAGATGCACACGGTTAAAAGAACCTTTTGGTTCCATAAAATTCAGTGAACAGCTGAGCGACTGTCAACTTCTTAAGCAGGACTCTACTGCATTGATCTAGTTTGCAGTATTCATAGCTATGTCCGATCTGACATTCTAATTTTTAATACGTATACTAATTTAGTGTATTGCACTGGTCCTTATTACATGCAACGACATTGTTCCAGTGCCCTTCACCCTTGGGTAAGGATAATTCTCAGAACCGGCGACTGAAGAAGTACGAAAATGATGATATCCCCCAGGAGAAGGTAGTACGAATCTATCAGGAAGAGCTTGCCAAGCTGATGGGTCGCCGCATGGAAGATTCCATGAGGGGGCCTCGCGAACACTTCCCAAGGTAAGCCCCTCCCACCTCTCAGTCATACAGCTTTCTTATTAATTATTCAATTCAACAGAAGCTTCAAAGGAACAAGTTGAGGGATCAGGTCTCAAAAATTCGTATTTTAGAATCATTTGATTGAGAGTTACATTATCACAGTTTGTACCCTGTACCAAAGGTCATTAGGATCAGATCAAGGTAGATGGGGTGGGCAGGTCATATAACACGCATTGTGCATGTAAGAAACAAATACAGCATCTTAATATGAAAATACAGGTAAACCTCGATTTACGCCGCTTCAATTTACGCCGGTTCGTCCAGGAAAGCATCCCCGTCGTAAATCGAGGTTTACCTGTATTACTTTGTGAAAAGTATTAGCCTAATCCCAGTGGGGGGGGTGGGGTGTCGAGAAAATTTTGCAAGTTGAATTTACCCATCGTTCTTCGTCTTTAATGACGTACAATTCACAACACGCGTTACAAGGTTATGGAATTAAAATCGCGAGAAATCTTATACAGCGCTCAACATAAGAAACACCAGCACGCAACGAACTCTTAACAACCCAAGTAAGACTTTTTATTTTCCTTCTTTCAGAATGTTAAGCCCTGGTTAAAATCGATCTTAAATCAGATCTATGGATGTGCACTGGACTTACCTACCTCAGAACAGGGTACAGTCACAGGTTCTTGTGAACACAGTAACAAAGCTTTAGATTTCATAAAAGGTGGTAAATGTTTTGGCCAGTCGAAACGCTTTCAGCATCTCACGAAAGATTTTGCTCCTTGAAGTTAGGGTATATGGCGCTTGTAGGCTAATATGAAAACCTTAACAGAAGACAGGACTTGTAAATTTAAGAGAAAAATACAGGTTTATAATTTAATGGATATTTGAAAGAATTTCTTGGCCACTAAAATCATTATTTTTTCATTGAACAGCCTGTACAATACGATGAATTTTTTTAGGTTAAACATGCTCAAATTATAATGCCTTGCACATCTTCCCTAATATTTAAAGAAAGTCTAAATTCTTCTAAATATGGACTTGTTTTGATCTACGACGAAAGGTCAGTGTTGGTATCTTCTAGATCACAACTGTAGTTCCTTCCAAAATCGGATTTATTTCTAATTTTACGCTGATTTGCTGAGTACCGAGAACAGCACTTACGTTTGTTGATGTAGCCTGCTTTTCCCACATTTCTTCAGTGCCGGTGGCGGCGGGCCTATGGATCGAACCCAGGACGAAATAAGAATGGCTCTAGACGCTTACCATCGGGAGTTGGCCAAACTCAACTCCGTATCCTCCTGTCCCACTGTCGGCAGTGCAGCAGGACTTCCAGGTAAGCCACCGAGACCGCGTGATCTTTAATTTTATTAATTACGAAAATCAGATCTCTTTGATGAAGACGGTGAGGGAAAATGGTGTCTTCACCCTGATTTTGGACATCGCAGTTAGCGAGGTGAGTGGCTATGTGCTGGAAGACTGCGTTTCAGTTCCTGTCAGGGGCAGATATTTTTGTTCTTATGCTCAGAACGATGATGGCGACCACATAGCCTCCTACCCACAGGTACTGAAGAGCATTTTCATTTTAAGATTTGTTGTCGAAATGCAAAACTGAATTTCTACGCGTATGCCTTCACGACCCTTACGCGTTTTTGACACGTGGAGCCGTGAAGCCAGGCAATTTCCAAAATTAATATAAGTGGTTGCCGTGCACATCGATGATATGTACTTGGATATACGATATATATCGAACAGTTTTGTTTCTTTTCTAGCATTCTACAAATTTTAAAAGTTTTTTTTTGGTTTCCCATATGAACCCGTACACAGGCACGTAATGTGCTCAATTGTTCGGTTTATGATCGTTTGCGTCTTAGTTAAATATGGTTCCTTCAACACTGAAACTCGAACTGATGCTGAGGTCAAAATTCAGCGATAATGAAAAATGCTTTACGGACATCCATGTTATAAACGAGTCTCAAACTGTGGAACCAAGACCATCAGCACCAACTCTTTAGTATGAATTTGGATTTACGTGGGCTTTCAGAGCAATAGAATTTCTCCCTTGGACTGAAAGGTTTACCGTATTTTGTTAATAAAGACTGCAAAGAACAAAATATTATTACTCTCCTTCATATTTGGACCAAGAAGTGTGGTTTACGTCACATTTTTATTTTATGAAGTCGTAAATTGTTTATTTCTAACTCATCACAACATGAAAATTCAGCAAATAGGTAATTAATTTTGCGTATTAATAATAGATGTAGTGATTCTAATAACAATATTTCGTGTTAATGTGTAAAAAAAAAAATTACGAAAATAACTTGTGTTAGTTCTGTCATGTATTTACAACGTAACCTCTCTTCAGTTAGGATGTACGTCGACATTTTCTTGGCGTTAGGGCACATATCAGTTGCTGCTGACTTAATTATTGAGTGAAACTTTAATATTATGAAATAAATAAAACAAAGTTGGCCATAATGCATCCAAAAATTAGAAAAACACAATCTTATTACAGAAAAAGTCGTGAAATTCTTACTGATTCTTGTTGATTCTCGTTAGTCACTTTCATACGTTTACAGCTCACAGTTTATTCTTTCGAACTACATTTTTCAGCCAAATGTGGCTGTTACCAGGTTCAAATACACATTTGAATTCATTGCCCTGAGATAATTACTTATCTATTCTCCCAGTGTTATTTCAGATAATTATAAAATTAAACTTTAAAATTAGTTACGATGTTTTGTTTTAAAATATTTAAAACAGTTAAGAAGTTGTAATGCAACTCAGTGAGTCCGAGCGTGTTAACCTGTAAAAGACTAGACACCAGGGATTCTGTCAGTCCTGCAGCCGGAAGAACACTTATCAGCGACGCCCCGATCTGGCTACTCTTACGTATTTTCTTTTTTCACGTCCAAGGAACACAACCTCTTGAGTTACAGCACTCAACGCATTTCGTGAATTATACAAAAGAACAACAACATATAAAACGTAATTTATAACTAATTAAATGTCTGTATCGTCCACACATTATTTTCTGTCGTTCAGAAGATTAAACTGCGAACTGCAAGTTCGTTAAAGTGAATTAACGTAACACACAGGGATGCCATACTAAAAAAATGAAATTTCTCTTATTTGAAATAGTCATAAAAAACAATTAACTACGTACGCATTGTGGATCAGATTGAAACTGAGAAAGTATTTCACAAGGGCCCGTCAGATGACAAGAAACCACATTCCATTAGTGTATTAGAGCGGAAACAAAATTAATTTGACGATAATAATTCTCTAGTCTGAAACGTACCCATGGAATAAAGATATTTCTATATGAGATGTTGGTTATTTGCCAGGTCTTCCAGGTCTTCTGGCTCTGCAGCAGCAGGCTCTGAGTCAACAACAGCATCAACATGCACAACTCAACGGGGTCGCTCAGGACCTGTCACTGCCTAAAGACCGCAAGGATGCTGGAAAGCTGCCTAACGGGGGTGGAAATGAACTCTTGATGGAGGGGGTTGATTGCAAGAAGGAGTCTAGCATGATGGAGTCCGTCGCCGATGTCCTAAGGCACGCCGGTAGCGCGTTCTCTCTTGTCAGGCCAAAGACCGAGCCAGGTACGGAAACGAGAACCCCAAAAAGAATTTCTCTTCCTGTCTGTTACGTGAACAGAAACCTTCGTTCACTTGGCACGTGTAATATCACGTAATAAATTGAAGAGGAACGCGGCGGACATCTCCAATAATTAAAATAAAATATTTTCTTTCGTGATTTCAGTTTAATTTTTTTTTTTTGACAGATAGAGCATATGTACTGTGGAAATTAATAAACTGTGCTGTGACTATAGTTCCGTTTGTTTCAAGTGAATAGTTTAATTTCCTAAACAATTTCGTAGCTTTGGTGCTGATGGTTTTAAACGGTTACGTATGTGGGCTTGAATCTCAATAAAAGAGCGGCCCATCCACGTACGAGTCCGGCTCGGCTCGGGTTCCATCGGAGCCAAACTCGTACGTGGGTGGGCCGCTTAAGACGTGGATGTAGATCTGTCTCCGCCTCATTTGACACAGAATTTCTCATAACTTTCATACCCTTTGTATTTGGTGAGTAATTTAAAAATTATCCCCCCCCCCCAAAAGCATTTAAAAAATTTCAGAATCTGCGTATTTATTTTTAACGTTATTTATGTATCAGAATATTATATTCTGCGTCATGTTCACTATAATTTTGAAGTTTTTAACATAAAATGCTGTCAAAATGAGATTTAAGGAATTTATTGGGCATTTATTCCGCGAAGTGCGGACGTCATTCCTATTATCCACAGTCATCCCTGTAACTCTCTATTAAAAATGCTGACGATATTTTGGTTTCGCGGAATAATCAGAGCGAGAAGACGGCAATGAAATACCTGACCTGTACTGTTTTACCGATCAGGGGTGGTCCCAGGGAGTGGATCCCAGCAGCAGACGACAGGCAGCAGTGCGAGCAGCCCACTGAGTAACTCCATCCTGCCCCCCGCGATGACGCCAGGCGACGACTTTTCCAGCGGAGCCGCCGCTGCAAGTCCACTGCAACGCATGGCGTCCATTACAAATTCACTCATCTCACAACCGAGCACGCCGACACATCACAGCCCGTCGCAACGCCCACTCAAGGCTGTTCTCCCACCTATCACACAGCAGCAATTTGACATGTTTAACAATCTGAATACAGAGGATATTGTCAAGAAGGTTAGTGTCCTCCTCGATCAGGCACCAGAATTTTAAACCCTTTCTTAACCTCTACACAATACAATAGACAGTTTCTTCTTGATATCCCTAATTAAGGTAAGTTTTTAATGAAGAATTTGATCTTCAGGAGCGCTCCAAGTCTCGAGAAGTCAGAAACGTATAAAATAACGTGTGCTGCTGACCACTTACTCCCATCTATTGGTGAGGTTTGGAATCAGTAGGAGCTGCTGAGCACTTACTCCCATCTATTGCTGAGGTTTCGAAACATTAGGAGCTGCTGAGCACTTTCCCATGTATTGGTGAGGTTTGGAATCAGTGGGAGCTATACAGTGTGTCCATAAATTCCCTTTTTGGTTTTGAAAAATTGTGGCGGGCAAACAAATTGAGCTAGCTACACGCGGTTTGCAGCATATTACAGTGAAACTCTGAAAGTTTTTTACTGACGTCAGTAGACCTCGATGTGGGCTCCCTTGGTAGCACGGAGACGTCCAGACGATATTCGAGCTCTTGCCATGTTCTGTGGAACATGTCCGCTGGAATAGCCGAGGTCGCATTCCTGATATGGGTCTTCAGTTCTTCAAGTCCATTAACTGGTGTTCGGAACACATTGCTCTTGACATAACCCCACAGGAAAAAATCCAGTGCTGTTATGTCTGGTGAACGTAGACGCCAAGGCTTTGGACCGTCTCTGCCGATCCATCTTCCTGGAAATGTCCTGTCTAGGTACGTGCGTGCCAGCAGACCCCAAAGAGGTGGAGCACCATCTTCAAGAGTTTCACTGTAATCTGCCCCAAACCGCATGTGGCTAGCTCAATTTGTTTGTCCGCCACAATTTTTCAAAACCCTGAAGGGACTTTGTGGACACACTGTACGTCCTTTCCCCTAACTGCCAACATTGACATGTAATGCGATTGCTTTACTTTATAAAATAATGCACGATTGTGCTCGAATGGGGCAGAATTCCATACCGCTTACTTAACATTTCATGATAAAAAATTTCACAAAATTGCACATGCAATCAGCTTCGTCGTACAAAGATTACCGAGTAGAGGCAAGCGATAAGCCGGTGAATGCAAAAAAATATGAATTGTTTATCTTAAACACTTCAGACTGAAACATTACAAATCAAACGTAAGTAAAAGTTAAGTAGAAATTCAGTGGAAATTTTTTCGTGTACAGAATTTATTTTTAAAAAAATAAAATATTTGGTCATTGGCCATTTTTCTGTTCTCAGGTGAGACAGATTCCAGTCTCTGAAATTTTGTGTTTTTAACAAAAAATCGAGACAGTGGATAATGTCCAGAAAGTTTGAAGATTTCTGTCTTCTGGGTTGTTGCCCTGCGTAGTCTGGTCGATGTCAGTAAACATCGACCAGACTACGCAGCGCAACAACCCAGAAGACAGAAATCTTCACACTCACCGCTGTGAAAACCTGTACTTGGATCCGCGTGTTTCTATACAAAATTAACAAGATGCATAAGCTTGCCGATCATCGCAGGAGACAGAGGTTGCATTTTGCCACTTGGTCGAGAGGCGAGGAAGGTATTCTCCACAAATTGTGGTTCTCCGGCGAAGCCTCTCTCCATTTGCATGGAACTGCGAACAAAAAAACAACTTTCCGTCGCTTGTGTCCTGTAGTTTATATGTGATATGTAACATTTTTTTTTAAAAAAAAATTATAGACATTTGTGCAGGATTTAAGACGTAAACATTCGATGCACCACTATATTTTACTGTTTTGCATGACGGACTGTATTTATTTTTTAATTTTCTACCATCAACGTTATGAGATTTGAGATTCTCATCGCAGTGTTAGTCCTCTGAGTTTTAATGCTGTTTCCATGCACGTGTTGATAGCAATGTTTCGGAGGAACATTCTACCTCTATCTTCATCTATCTATCTATCTATCGGCATAGCGATTTGAGTCGTACGATCGTTTGTTTCTGCCATGTTTGATTGTAATATGGAATTATAATGGAGTTGTTTCCCGTCGCGTTCTCCATCGCAGTATCAGAACCGGTACAATAAGTATGTGATTGTCGTCTGTGAATATCCGGTGACGGGCCTTTGGGGAACGTCACATCCAGCGGATCACATTTGACATCTTCACCGCCAGAAGGACCTCAAATCTCATATCCGTTCCTTGAAATATTTTCTTCAGGACAGAACTTTTGCTGTTACTAATGTTTTTTGATTTGAATTTGTACCAAATTGCATTTTTGAAATTGCCAAAATAGAGCCGCAGGTCGTGTCGTAAAAGTACCTGTACTAAGACAATTACACATTTCTTAAAACTCAAATTTATACAATTTTTTTTAAGTACTTTTGATTTGTTATATGATATTTTATCTGCACATGGCATATATACATTTGTACCTGAAATTAATAATACAAATAATTAAGAGTTAAACTGAGTTGTTTTATAAGACTGATTTGGTACCCCCAGACAGCGGGCTCCCAGGGTGGTCGGCGTAGTCGACTACCCCAAAGACCAGCCCTGCTCAACAACAGTCTGAGAAAGGTGCTTTAATCACGTTACATACGTCTCTTACCACTTTTAAGTGTGCGTTAGTGTAACGAGAGGAATCAGGTCAAAATTAAGAAACCGCGTAACTGCTGTCGGCTGACAAAAAAATTTAATCTTTTTTTAAAAATCCCATAAATGTTTGGAACAAAATCAAATTTTACCTTGAATGTCTCTGAGGTTTAATAATAAATGTTTGGAACAAAATCAAATTTTGCCTTGAATGTCTCTGAGGTTTAATATCATTAAAATTTGGTGTCAAGTTTAAACGTAATTTTAATTTCTCTCTTACTTCTAGCGCACACTTAAAATGTTGACTATACATCTAGCTTAAGTTCCGATTTATGAGACTATACCGCACATACTTTGTATTCGTATTATTTAAACCTTTTTATCTCCCTCAGGTTAAGGAGTCGCTAAGTCAATATTCCATAAGCCAGCGTTTGTTCGGTGAATCTGTACTGGGTTTGTCGCAAGGCAGCGTGTCGGATCTGCTTGCAAGACCGAAGCCGTGGCACATGCTCACGCAGAAAGGGAGGGAGCCGTTCATCCGCATGAAGATGTTCCTGGAAGACGACAACGCGGTCCACAAACTGGTGGCCAGCCAATACAAGATTGCACCCGAGAAGCTGATGAGGACCGGCAGTTATGCGGGTGGACCTCGTGAGTTCTTAAACAACTTCTGAGACAACAGCTCAAAAAATTTGAATAACAACTTTTTTCATTATCTTTGATTCAAATTTAAATAACAATTGATGATTTTCGTTTTTGAGATTCGAAGTTGTCGTGGCGATGAAGATGTCACTCTTGTACTTCAGAGTTTTAATGTAGTGTGGACTTTTTGTATCTGCTTACAAGTTCTTAGGATGTTACGATCCAAAAGACCGTCATCGATATTTTAATTTTTTTTATGTCAGTGTTTCTCAAAAACTGGTACCAGTTAAATGACATCCTTTCTTATACTTCAGATTTATTCCTGGTTTCATTTATTCAAAGTCTTCAGATTGGCGTCTCCATGAAAGCGAAAAAGCTTATTAAGAGCGTAAAAATAAAAAAAATACTTTGTTCATGTCCTGAAGTGGTGGTGAGGGGGATGAAGGGTGAGTCAGGGGTGATTACGCCACAGCAATATTACAGAAAATGGCCTGTGTCATACATTTGTATTTTGCCACATTTAGTCTTCGTAACTCGCCGGTGGTGATGGGACGAGGTGGCGAGTGTATTTGGAAGGTGGCAGACGCAGAATCTGACATCAGTATCGTAGTTATGTTAGTGGGAATTAGTGAAGAAAAAATACATTTTTCTCATCAAAACATAATTTATTCTTTCATAATGGCACAAATTTTGAAGGATGTAACAGAAATTGAACAGGAGCTGAAGACCGACTCTGATGAAGAAGTCGTATCTGACAGTGAAAGTGACGCAAAATTCTCACTAGAACAGTGGGAGGGGTTGACTATGAACTGTGCATGGATAATTTTGTCTCCTCTCAGGATATATGTGATGACCTGCAGACAAGAGCTCTAAAGTGAGCTTAATGCTGGGATGAGAAATGTCATCAGCGATTTGGAAAAAACATATCTTCTTCTTCTTCTTCTATGGCTCTCCGGTCCGTATTCGGTCCATGGCCTCCTCAATTCTCCTCTTCTGTTCAGCCCTCTGTTAGGTCCCTCTGTCCGAGGCTTTGATCGAGGTTTCGAAACATCTTCCTTTTTATGGTGCAAGGTTGTTAGCCTTGCGAACAACCTAGAGGACCAGGGTACCTGTCTTAGTCTGACCTCTCCCCCTCGACCAATCTGGCTAGGGAGGCCCTACCAGTAGCTCTTGGGGTCATTGAGGTACTCCACTACCACGACAACGTGCAGGTACCATTAAGTCGGGGGGGAAACATGTGTCATGTGCATAAACTGCCAGCAGAAAGCAACGTCTCTGATGAATGTGAGAGAGCTCATAGACCTGAGTTGTCTTTACGCGTGACATATCAAACAGTAGCCGTCTATAGGATTGCATTTGAGGGAACCATTTGTAGTCAGAAAAGGACTACAAAATTTTCATGTTCAAAATGCATTATCGTTTTCATATTTTGTGCTCAATAGGAACCAACCTTGTATTTTAGTGTAGGAACAATATTTACTAAAATTCAAAATATTTAAATTAGCAAAGGTACCTATAACCTGTCTTAGAAAGATTGTATTATGTTATTAAAATATCGCAGCAGAGAATTCTGAAAAATATTTTCTTTCAATAACTTTCTACAACCTCCTGGTAGGGTCGAAGGGCAGGGACCAGACAAAGAGCAGCCCACTGATCCTCCAAGTTGGGGGTTGGGGCATTAGGCTGATGACCTGATACCCGGGAAACATTTCATAATCCGGAAACCCGATAATAGGCCTCGGAATAGGTATGAAAGACGACGACGAACTAAGCTACGAATTAAGGCAAATGATTTGAGAATGGCGACATGGAATGTGCAAACTGTCAGAAATTGCAGATGAATTCCGCTGCAGGAAATAAGATGACCAGGGAGCAGCAGGATAGATAAGAAGGATTTCGCGGTGATGTTTAGCGGAGCGGGAACTAGAGGGCAAAGGGGTACAGGTTTCATGATAAGTAAAGAAGTTAGAGAGTCATTGATGGAATTTACACCAGTCAGTGAACGATCGTGTAAAAGAAGACTTAAAGGAAAATTTCATAATATCTCCATTATATTTGCCTATGCACCTACTGAGGACGCAGAAGAGGTAGACAAAGACAAATTTTACGATAAGCTGGACTCATTAAATGAAAATATAAATGGACACGATACGTTACTTATCTTGGGCGATTTTAACGCAAAAATTGGTAGAGAAGCTGAAGTTAAAACAGTAAAACGGCAGCGATTATCCAACATAGGTGAAATTAATGGACAGCGGAGGACTGGATGGGGAGTCGTGACCATATCTTCACCTTATCCCAAATTATGGAAAAGTTCTACATCTTCTATTCATAGATTATCAGCGAGCGTTTGATAGTTTGGATAGAGTAAGGATCAGTGAGGCATTAAGGAAAGTTAAATAATTGAATGTAAAAAAAATAGACTAGTGATTATTACAGTAAGGAGGATTAAGAGTTTTTCTTTAATTTACAGCTTGTTCATCGCTTGGCAAACCACAGCTGCCCTCTTCGAAGCTCTCCGATGGCGTGTCAAACAAAATTCTCTCTGGTGACAACCAGGGCTCCATTCTGCCTCCTTCCCTGCAACTTATTCCCCCACACCCTCAACAACCACCTTCAGTGCCCCAACCACCCCCTCCTCCCCTGATGGTCACTCCACCAGGCCATCACTCCATAGGATCTTTATCGACTTCCGATCTTAAAAAGTCCCAACAGTCCCATCAGGCATCTCACTCTAACCTTCATCCATCACACCACCACCATCATCATCATCAGCAACAGTCATCGGCTCTGCGCGCGTTGCAGCAGCATATGACGCCCAGTGTTTATGAGATGGCGGCACTGACACAGGACCTCGATACGCAGGTCATCACGACGAAGATCAAGGAAGCTCTTCTTGCCAACAATATTGGACAGAAAGTATGATTATAGTATTCAAACTCGACATCTAAACCAAAAGCGCATCACCAAATTGTCTTTCTTTATCTGTTTCTCACTGCTCCAATGGGGCGAGACCATGTCTCTGCGGAACTGGGCCACTGTCCATTCCCCAGATGAAACAAGTGAGTGGAATGCTACTGATGGGAAAAGTAAGGATTTGGAGAGATACTTGCTCCAGTGCCAGTTTCTTCACCTCAAATCCCACATGGACTGTCCAGGGTACAAACCTGGGCCTCCACAGTGGGAAGTCAGTAACCAACTATCTGAGCTGTAGCGCAACGCAGTCACAATAAATGTTACTTCTGTTGCGCTTTTGTGACAGTGAGTCTCTTATTCTAAAGATGTTAATTAGAAGCCGTCAATTGTCTGTACCTGAGATACGTCTACGACACTCCGGAGGCTCGCTCTATCATCAGCTTCAGGGCAGAAGGAGGCAATGAGAAAGAGTTACCGAGCCCATTAATGAGAACTAGCTTTATTTATTTAACGGGCTCAGACAAACAAGTGTTTTGTCGACCTCCTTGTTTCTTGCCTGATGACGGAGGCAACGTCTGAAAAAAACAAAACAAAAATAAGTCTAATTCTTTTATTTCAAAAAGTTACGCGTGAGAAGTCTAAAAAAAATGACTGCGAAGAAATATTTCATTCTGTGTTGCAGTACTTGTATATATATTTTTTTGAAGAATATTTTCAACTAATTCTTTTATTTCAAAAAGTTACGCATGAGAAGTCTAAAACAACTGAATGAGAAGAATTTTTTCATTCTGTGTGTTGCAGTACTTGTGTATTTTTTTTTGAAGAATATTTTCATAAAAGCGCATCACCAAATTGTCTTTCTTTATCTGTTTCTCACTGCTCCAATGGGGCGAGACCATGTCTCTGCGGAACTGGGCCACTGTCCATTCCCCAGATGAAACAAGTGAGTGGAATGCTACTGATGGGAAAAGTAAGGATTTGGAGAGATACTTGCTCCAGTGCCAGTTTCTTCACCTCAAATCCCACATGGACTGTCCAGGGTACAAACCTGGGCCTCCACAGTGGGAAGTCAGTAACCAACTATCTGAGCTGTAGCGCAACGCAGTCACAATAAATGTTACTTCTGTTGCGCTTTTGTGACAGTGAGTCTCTTATTGTAAAGATGTTAATTAGAAACCGTCGATTGTCTGTACCTGAGATATGTCTACGACACTCCGGAGGCTCGCTCTATCATCAGCTTCAGGGCAGAAGGAGGCAATGAGAAAGAGTTACCGAGCCCATTAATGAGAACTAGCTTTATTTATTTAACGGGCTCAGACAAACAAGTGTTTTGTCGACCTCCTTGTTTCTTGCCTGATGACGGAGGCAACGTCTGAAAAAAACAAAACAAAAATAAGTCTAATTCTTTTATTTCAAAAAGTTACGCATGAGAAGTCTAAAACAACTGAATGAGAAGAATTTTTTCATTCTGTGTGTTGCAGTACTTGTGTATTTTTTTTTGAAGAATATTTTCATTTCACAAATTTGTGCCGTCAAATAATATCAAACAATATTCAGAGTATTTAAAATGTTATTAACAGTTTAGACGTAATTCCTTTCTAAAGGAGTGTAAGTTTCTGTCTAAGAATTCATGAATACTGGCAATAAATGATGGACCGTCCTTATTTCAGATCTTCGGAGAGGCAGTGCTGGGTCTTTCACAGGGTTCTGTGAGCGAGCTGTTGTCGAAGCCAAAGCCATGGCACATGCTGAGCATCAAGGGACGTGAACCTTTCATTCGTATGCAGCTCTGGCTGAGTGACGCGCACAATGTCGATCGACTGCAGGCACTCAAGAATGAGCGGCGCGAGGCAAACAAGAGGCGCCGCAGCAGCGGTCATGGCGGCGGTCTCGGCGGCGGCGGCGGCGGCGGAGCTGACAACAGCAGCGACACATCTTCCAACGACACTTCAGAATTCTACCACAGCCCGAGCCCCGGGCCCGGACCTCCTTCTGCCAAGAAACAGCGAGTCCTCTTCTCTGAAGAGCAGAAGGAGGCTCTTCGGCTTGCGTTTGCTTTGGACTCCTATCCTAATGTGGCTACCATTGAATTTCTCAGTTCTGAACTGGCACTCTCTTCACGTACCATCACCAACTGGTTCCACAACCATCGGATGCGACTGAAACAGCAGGTGCCTCATGGTCTGGCACCAGAAGGCGCTGCGATATTGCCACCGCCACGTACCAATGATCCTTCCAATGGTGGACAGCAATCTTTTGACCCTGTTCAGTTCCGTCTCCTTCTCAACCAGCGCTTGTTAGAACTACAGAAAGAGCGCATGGGTCTCGGTTCCGTCCCTCTTCCCTACCCTCCTTATTTTGCTGCAAACGCAAACTTAGCTGCACTGATCGGTAGAGGCCTACTTCCAACAGCTGAATGTGACCCTAAGGAGCAGTTCAGTGGGCTTGACCTAAGCATGGGGGGGCTGAAGCGAGAGCCTGCGGATTATGAAGACGAGGAGGATGCTGACAGCAACATGGGTAGCGAAGATTCTAATCTCTCGGCATCGAGCCTGCGGGAGACTCCGGCCTCAGCCACGGTGAAGAAGGAAACGTCGGTGGTTCCTGCCGCAACAGGACGGTCGTCGAGGCGCAAACCAGCCGCGCCTCAGTGGGTTAATCCTGAATGGCAGGAGGCTGTCGCGACAGAAACTGGGAAAGACAAACCTGCTGGTAGCAGAGGTGACAAGGAGGTGATTATCAATGGCGTGTGCGTGATGCAGGCAACGGCTGCGGATGACTACGGCATGAAGCTGAGTGCCACGGATGAGGAAACGGTCCACGTGGAGCCAACGCCAGTTCTCGATCCTTATGATGATCGATGCAGTGACGCTTCGTCAGATGCTGTTCCTGTCGAGGACCGACGGACACAGCCCGCGTCAACTGAACGTGATGAAGACAGAGGAAGTGCTAAGTCAGAACCTTCATCTCCTCAGGAGGAAGAAGAAGAAAGATTGGAGGAAGGAGAAGACGCTGAGGAGGAAGGAGATGGTGAGGTGACAGAAGTGGAAGGGTCTGTAGAAGTGAGACATAAGTTTATTAAACAGGAGGATGAGGATGAAGAGGGGAGAGGATCCCCTGTTGAGGAGGAAAGGAAGGAAGGGGAATGGGACATGGCAAGTGGGAAGAGGCCACCGCCGGAAAGAGACGCTGTGATTGACAAGAGAATTAAGACGGAGGACAGGGAGGAGAGGTGGGAATATTAACAGTTTCCCACCTGCCGTGAACTAAACGCTTGGTTCCAAGACTGACGTACTATAGCCGCGGATTCTGTCTGCTGTATTCAATAAAGCTGAGTAGAACCATCGCGCACGTTATGTGAAAAACAGAATGATGTTGCTCTAGAGGGACCACGTAACTGAATCAGAATTTTTGCTGCTCTAATCTGTTTGTGGGCTGCTAAGATTATTCTAAAATGTTTCCAGGCTTACGAGAAGCCACGTATCAGATAATGTTCAAATGTTCTTTATGTTTACCAAGTTTCAAATTTTATCACCAGGTGAGAAGGACAACGAATCTCCGCGAACTGTCGTTTGAGAAACGGAGGGAGACGGAGACGGCGCCCGCTCGAGTCTCCCTGAAAAAGTGCAATCATCAAAGTTGATACATCATAGTTGTGTTAATTATTGTGATTTTTAATGTTTCTGTTTGTCATTGCTTAACGGACTTAGTACGAGTGATGTTATTTCATCTATTTAAGATTTTTTCGATTTTTGATTCTTAATTACGTAAGAGTACAAATTTGTGACTCTTATTAATAAATTAATGACATAGTTAAAAAAAAAAAGACTGTTACCATGTTACGCTATTACTACTAGCCAAAAATTAATTAATTATAACGACGGCCATTTGCCAAGCAAATTTTTTAAATGTGATACAGAGCTTACGAGTATGAGAATGTACTTTCGCTTATCAAACCTCATCGTACGTGTGATTTGGATCAATTCATCCAGAAATTTTTTTAAAAGGAAACGCGCTAGCCTTTGAAATCACACTTTATTTCACAGAACGCTTCTCGTTTCAACGTAAAATATGTCATTCAGTTATTTTATTTTCTGTACATGCAAATTTACACAAAATGGGAAATACTTTTGTAAATAGAGGGCAGATCAAGCAACCGTTCATCCGCCTATGCCGATTAACCCTCGACGTACATGACAGTATTGGTCACAAAGAGAGACCAGCTTCGTAAGAAGTATTGTCGTGAAATATATTACGTATTAGCATTAAATATATCCAGATCGCAGTCGAGCTTCCCCGAGATTCAGTGAAATTGTATCCTGGCTTATATTAAGTTTGTTTACGTGGTTTACAGACCCTCGATCTGTAATAAAATAAATATATTTTCTTGATCGCAATTTTTTCAATGAATAGTTAGTTCCATGTTTGTTGTTGGTATTACGTTAACGAAACAAAATTTTTCCATTTTGGCATTATCAGGTATTATTAGTCGTGTATTATAAAGAAATTTTGTTGTCGTTAAATGATCTCTCTTTCCTTTTTAGACTTGTCGCAGTCGCTTTCTTTTTCTTCTAAATCCTGCTAGTCTTCTTGAAGAAATTGTCTAGTCGATACTCACCAGTAAACTCTCCAAGTAGGGCATAACTCATGTTCTGGTTGCGTTAATATTGTTTTGTGACATTATTTGCCAGTTCTTCTTGTAACGGAGAACTTGGGAGACGGAGTGACGTGGATACAGCGAGAGCGATGCGCGGCACCCATAGCCAATTATACATGCAGTATTTGCGATCTCATATTACCAAATCAATCCTCAGTTTTGTTTTTTTTTCCATATTATTTTTTCTTTTTCCCCCCCCAAAAAAAATCATCCAAATGTATTTGTAAGCATATTTATGGATTTTGCTACGATGTGTGTACTATTTTGTCCATAACTTGGATGGTCTGGCCTATTATGTAGAATTCCAGAGATAGTCTTTGTTCTCAGATGGTAGTTTTTTTTTTATTATAATTTTTATTTATTATTTGTACATGCCCGAGGCATAAGACGGACGACGTTGACCGGGACGCGGATAGAACATCCGGTGACCGGTTGATGTTTTTGAACTTTTTAAAACTATAAGCTGTGTTAATCATAAAATTTAACCCAGTCGTAAAAAAAGAAAAAAAAAAAAGGAAACTAAAATCTTTGTCCCTGTACATGTATAAAACCATATCTACACAATATTCAGAGAATTAGATACGATGTAGCTACCGAAACATAATCAGGTTCAGTATGATTCAACCTCCCTCCCACAGGATATTTTAAAACAATTTTGTCTCCTTGCCCCATAAAACATTCTAATTCTATTATTCATTGATGTTATTTAAGTTTCATGAAAAATGTTTAATTAATTTTTATATTGTATGGATTATGGATTGTGGATAGTAGCATGCACGACTTAGGAAAAAAAAATCTTCTCGCATCATCCAATTGTTCTTTCATATTAATAAGTATATAAAGTGTACATTACTAATCAGTACTGCGGACTGTACAGCAAAGCACCGTTTCTAGAAACAAGTTTTGGATGTGTATGTATATCTTACATTTTTTTTCCCCCCTTCATACCGAGAGTCACGTGAATGTGCCCCCTCGTAATCCCTCTCCACCCACAAACTCCGTTGTACATACTTTACAGGAGTTGGGCTGTTAAATGTGACGTTGCTTGAGGAACGCAAACTAGACGGAACAGTTGTTTCGACCGAGTGCATTGTGTGAGTGGCTACACGGCACGTAAGGAAGACTGCATCGTGGCTGAAACGTAAACAAGATGGATATAAGAGAAAATAATAAATTTATTGAGACTCTTTTAAAGAGTGCTGAAAGAATAGTTTGCACATTACAAAAAAAAGTGCCCAAAACTAAATATATCAGTTTTTCATTTAATAATTCATTATTGCTTAGCATCATATGTACATATTTATATTCATATCATTGTGTCCTTTTAAAATTTCTAATATTAAAAAATTTCTCTGTATTTATTCAAGTATGTGATTATTTCCGTAAATCGTGCAAATAGATGAGATACTTGAACATAACAAGTAAGACGATGTCATTTTCATGCTTCATGCTTGTACTTAAAGTACTGGCATCAAGTGTAAATATCTTCCTTGTAACTTCCAGTGTCAAGTCCCGAGTCCTGTAGTTCTAACAACTATGATATTTGTTCTAGAGCTACTAAGAACAGCGCAGAAACATTGGCCCTTAATTTTACACCTCGTGTTTCCTTACCTAACATAACATAACCTAAACTAACCCAACCTAAACTAACCTAAGCTAAACTAACTTAAATTAACCTAATCTAAACTAACATAACCTAAACTAACCCAACCTAAACTAACCTAACATAACCTAACACCACATTTAGTATGGACGAACATTGTGGCAACACATCCTTTGGTCCATAACTAAACACTCTCTCACCTTCCATCCTCAGGCATGAAGATTCTTCAGTCCATGTTCAATCGAATATGGATAGAGAGCTAAGTACCAGATGCCTGGAGAAAAGCTAGTTGGAAACCAGGCAGAGACTGCCTGCAAGTAGTTACAGGCCAATCAGCCTCACTATGTGCCTGCGCAAGACAACAGAGCGCATTGTAAACTATCGTCTTCTCTGGGTGTTGGAGAGCCGAAACTGCAATGTGGATTTCAAGATCCACCCTTGACCACTTGGCGAACCTGGAATTCAACATAGCAAATACTTTTCTTCTACGCCAGCACCTTGTTGCTGTCTTCTTCGACCTGAAGAAGGCATATGACACAACCTGGCGGCATGGTATCTTCAGAACCCCTCACCGCTGGAATCTCAGGAGTCGACTGCCACTCTTTCTTTCTAATTTCCTCCAGGGCAGTTGTTTCCATGTCCGAATTCGGAATGTGTTGTTGCGCGGAACCAACTACAGCGACTTGGCTTGAACTTGCCCTGTATTATTCCCTTTAGAGGCACAAGAATTCCACCCTGGAATGCCATGTCCTAATTCAAGTGTACCACTTCCAAAAATCAGGTACCCACGGATAGGAGGTCATTTTTGCAACAATTTCTCGTTGTATCTACTTCCTTAAGGGATTTTCTATATCAATTCAGTAAAGAATACTGATTCATTGAGTATTAATATTAGAATACTTTCTCGGAACTATGCCCCATGCCTTGTTTTGTGGTATATATATAATATATTTATTGACTTGGACTTCTCAAACACTGGGATCGTGGATTTGAATCTTACACGAGGCAAAGATATATGCCCAAGTTGTCCAATGTAGGTAGATGCCTAGCGATGGTCCTGTCCATTGTCCAAGACTTAAAAATGTCTAAAATTACTGTTCCAAAAGAAGCTAATAACCCCATTGATCAAACCCCACTGCGTGCAGACCACCGAGAAGTTCTGACACCTGGTGTTCATTCAGAGAACTGCCGTAGTTGTACTCTGAGAACAGATGGCAGCACAGCCAATGTCAATGCTATATTTCTAGATGCATGCCAATAATTGTTTTGATACGTTTACTGTGTGCTGTAGTTACTCATCGCCAGCAGTAATTAATTGATAGTGTATATGTTCGCTTCTAGCTCGAGAAGGGATAAACCGAAAATATTTCATATTAAAAATCGTTCAGAATCAAAACAGTTAAATTAGTAAACCAATTTAAATTAACATAAGGCAATCACAATTTAGTATTTATGCCGTCCTCAGCTCTTTCTTGGACATACTTGTCTCTGTGAATAATACCAGAATAACACTTCAAAATAGATCACGACCAGTTTTTTATATCCTCAGCTACTTATTTTATGTGCTAAAATTCTGCATCATAATCAGACATAATCAAAAAATATTCTACAACCAAACAGACACGTGTATGAAGGATCGAGAAGAGAAGTGAAATAAAGTAAGGTCTAGTGTTTATCAGTCCATAAGCAAATAAAACAAAATGCGTAGATTTTGTTCTTTACATAGGTTAAAGGTTATGTTTACTCTATAAAATACCATGGATTAGCCATTAATCTTAATAGCCTTGCTTACTTTGGGGTTAAATTAATCACTAAATGTTAAGAAATATGTGTTTTTTCGATTTTGATAAGCCCTTCCTACTCAGATCAACATGAGCAGAAAATTAACAATGATAAATGTCTCAATAAAATCTGGGTTGATAATGGGATGTCCAAGAACATGTTCAAGCACAGATACAATACTTGTTTCTAATAGAAACTTAAATTACATAGTTATGACAGTAATTTACATTCAATTACATTATTTCCACAAAAATAATTACCCAAGAAAGCATACCCACTATGGCTTACATGTATTTATAATAGCTGAGAATTGTTGGTTAAGGTAAATTCTTGTATGGAGTAGGAGTGGGATAGGAAGTATTCTTTTAGTGATGGCTTAACTTTCTTTCAGACTATTTATAGTCAGGGGAAGATAATTGAATAGCTTAATTCTAGTATAGTAAAATCTTTTTTTGATATTTACCAAGGTTAGTGTTTGGCACATGAATGTTATATCTGTGTCTTATATTGTGGATATTTGGGTTTGGTTTAAAATTTTCTAGGTTGTCAACTACAGATGATCATAATAAAATCAAACATTCACTGCCTTATGACATGATTAATGGAAGTAAGCTAAGTAGACAAACTTTAAAGTTGCTCATAGCGAAACATGTTGAGCTTAGTTTAGGGATAATGTATTGAATGTGTGTTTTCAAATTTAAGTTATTGTCAATTTGTAGGCCAAGAAATCAAGCTGTTTCTAATTCTTCAGTTGTTTTATCCACATACCCTGCAAACTACATTAACACAATTTTAGTTACTAATACAGAATTTAATGAAATTCATTTTGTCATAATTAATTGTGAATTTCTTGGCTTTAATCCATTTGTTCAGGTTAGCAAAAAACATCATTCATGAAAATTTGGAAAATCGGTTTCTGGTTGCGAAATAAATATATTAGTATCATCCGTAAAAGTGTGAGTTCAGACTGGGAGTTAATGAGGAAAAGCAGAGGAACTCCATGTTATATAAAGCCCCAATTTGAATATGTGCTATTATTTGTATCTGGTGATTTTGTTTCTACTTGTTGCCTTGTTTCATGAAGGTACAATTTAAACCACTGACCTGCTATATTTTTAGAGCTTCTTCTTACATTGCCCTTAAGAGTTGCCCTTGAGTTTTTGGGTTCTTCATTGCACTCTTTTGAGAATCCACTCCTAACAGAGGACTGATGATTTTTATGCACATGGACACGTGCACAGACAAATCTAAATATATTTAATTTTATTGGTTACTTTTTAAAAAATTACTGTTTTTATATAGAGTCAAATTCATAATTAGACTTTGAATGTCTCAGACCCTTCCTTTTACATAAACCAATGATGCAAATTTGCCATATGTCTGCGCACGTGTTCATGTGCATAAAAAATGATCAGTTCGCTGTTAGAAGTGATTTCTTAAAATAGTGCTCTGATGTACACAAAAATTTTAAGTTACTGTTCTAGAACTTGCTTGGAGGAACTGAGGAAATTAGGAAGCCTTCCAGTTTCTCAGGTTAGAATTTTTGTGGTTTGGTGTTGCATTATTCTCACACAATTTGAGAATGATGTTTGCCAGATTTCAGTGAGCATTTAATGCACACAACAACAACAACAGAAATAAAAAAAAAATCAGTGAGCATTTAATGCACACAACAACGACAGAAATAAAAAAAAATTTCTGAATATTTGAGAACGTGTTAACAACGCTCTGTTGAGAACTACGAAGTAAACTTGTACTGCATCCTTTAACCTTGAAAACGCAACCAGACTTTTCTTAACAGGTGAAGCCACTGGCAGGCAAACATCTGGCCTTAGTAAACCAGAGAGCGCCATTGAGCTAGTGACGAGGATTCTTCCATTGACGCTAATGGTCGGGCGCTTCTTGAGAGAACGGAAATATTGTCAAAAGACAGTGCAGGTTGTCAGTGAGTCCAACTTTTCGAGCTAAAGGGTTAATGTGAGCGCAACTGTCCACTGAGAACAAAGAGATACGGTACCACGACAATGGACCAAAAAACTCTAGCGTGGAATGTAGAGTTCTTTGAGTAAGAATGTTACAAACGAAGTCTGAACCAAAATTGGCTCCAAACAGCGTTACAGAGATTACTAAAACTGCACCCGAGGTTTTGCTATTCTGTTCTTTGTCACTTGGAGAGCAGGCCAGTGCTTGAAAGCTAAGGCATGTAATTAGTACAAGACCAGTGAAGGTGAGGCATTTGCTGACTGCACCGAACACACCACATGAAACCCAGTCAAACATTACCAGAAATACTAGGATGCTGAGCACTGCAACCTGTAAATAATCAGTACCACAATAAATATAATGAAGCTGGCGAAGGCAATGGTTGGTCACGGCGATAATTTAAAATTTCTCGTAATAATTTTTTCTATGCAGAATCACTATCATTCAATAATATTATGTATCTGTTGCTACTGATGCCATGTTCATGTTGATCTGAGAGTAGGAAGGGCACATTGTTCTTTAATATTTAGTGATTAATTTTATGCAAGGCTCTCAAGATTAATGGTTAACCCATGGTATTTTAATGAGGCTAATCATCTAATTTCTAATTTAAGAAAAGAAAAAAAATCCGTCGAATTGTTTCAATTGCTTACGGTCCGATTAACACCAGAGCTTACTTTATTTTCTTTTTTTTTTCCTCAGTCCTTCATACACGTGACTGTTTTGTTGTAGAATATTTTTTTGTGAATGTCTGAATTTAAGCACAACGCAATCATTCGTCTCTGTCTCTCCTCAAAGTCATCATGAGGCCCTCAACTTATCTAGCGATCCTGCTGCTAGTTCTGACCGCGGTAAGTTTAGTAAATACCTATGGTTATTTAACGACGCTCATCTATTTTGAAGTATTCTGGTATTATTCACAGAGACAAGTATGTCCAAGAAAGAGCTCAGGACGGCCGACTCCCGGGCATAAATACGAAACTCGGACTTTCTGAATACGAAGTTAATTAAAACTGTTATAAGCTTTTGATTTTGAACGTTTTTGAGAAATTA